CCAGGCCGCCCGCCCCGCTCCGCCCCCGCCCTCATCCCACCTGCCGGTCCTCGTCTCCTGCCCTCGGAGCTGAGACGCCGATCCCCCGCTTCCCCAGGCGCCGGCCCACTGGGAGCCGAGGCTTTGGGAAGAAGGGGCTCCCCCGGAGGCGCGCAGGACGCCGCCCCTCTCCGCGCGGACAGGAGGGACGCGGAGAGCCCGCCGGGGCTGCCGGACGTCCCCTGCCTTCCTTCCCGGTAGGGAAGCGATGGGAAGAGAAGCGACCGGGACGTGCGACCCGGCGGCTCCAGCTTCGAGTCCGCTCCGCTTCCCAGACCCGCACCCTGCGCCTCCCTGCGGGTCCGGCCTCGCGCCCGCGTCTCCCTCCGCGCCGGCCGTGCAGCGGGAGGTCGTGCAGGGCCCGGTGCGGGCTCGGAGCCCAGGTGCGGGGGAACTGGGGTGCGGGGGAGCTGAGTCCGGGCGGACCCCCGGGGGACACTTGATATTAGGAAGCGGAGGGCTCCTTTCCAGAGCTTTGCCTTTAAAAAGTGGGACAGAGTGGTTTTGATTTCTTTTTAGATGGTGCCTTTTTTGAAATCCTGGTTCTGCCTTTGACATCTAGTATGTATCTGGAAGCACTCTTGCTTTACCACAAATTAACTTACTTTGTTTGTTATTGGAAGCTGCCAGACAGCTGTCAACCTTAACAAAATGAAGAGCCATAATGATTTCTCCTGCGTGAAGCTTACAATCGAGTTAGGGTTGAAAGACTGAAAAGGGCTGCTTGCTGACTTCAGAGGAAGTTGATGTGTCCCTCGCCCCGCCTCTCCTCTCCTCCCCTCAGCATTTGCAGTTATGCAGATTAGTTTACTGGATAGATTCCAGACATCCCTGGTCTTCACGCACCGGGCTGCACAAGTCCCGCAGACTGAGCTGGTTTGAGGAGGTTCTGTAAAAATCCTGAGGTTATGGTTGTGGTTTTGGTTAGAGCTGTTCTCACTCCATTGTAATGTTACAAGATAATTCAATGACGGCTGGGTCAGTGGCCCTTTATGTGATTAGAGAAGAAAGAATTGTGAAGGTCCTATCACTTGAAAGTAAATGCCAGTGTTTTCTGTGAGCTTCTAGCTGAAAATAATTGTGTAAGTCAGGGGATTCTTAGCCAACAAAAGCTTTAGTGGCAAGAGAAAGGCCACACCCAGAGAGGATGAATCACAAAAATCAAAGCCAGGTGACCCAGGGACTTGCCCTGTTGCAGGAGGCTGCAGAGAGGGAGGAGTAGTGGGTCTCGGGTTCAGTTCTCTGAGCTTGCTTTGAGTATCAGAGATCGGGAGTCTCTGGTGGGGCTGGTTTACACATTGCCGGAAGTCTGAAGAAAATGTAATGAGCAGTTATTCCCCTCTGTGCTCCACGTGTGTGCAACGTTTCGATGTTTTAAAAGAATTAAAATATTACATTTATAATTTAAGTCCTTGTTGAGTTATGTTTTATGTTTCTTATCTCCCATTATATATACAAATAAACTGCCAATCCGATACGTTATGATTTTATGCTGTTACCACACGCAGTAGTTAGTTTTCCTGTTCTGAGACGCAATACCCAACCATCTCATTCTAAAGAACAGAAAGGGTTAGTTGGCTCTGATTTTCCATCTGTGATGGTTGGGCTCCTAGGTTTCTACGGAGAGACACCTGCGGGGTTGCGCAGCTGCTCAGTTCATGGGGCAGGGAAGTGGAGCAGGGGACAGCGCCCAAGAGGAGAAGGGGGAGCCAGGGGGAGCAGCAAGGCCACGCCTCCATGGCCACCAGACACATGGAGGAGTGAGCGTCACTATCTGCCAGGTACTTCCTAATCCAGTGAAGCTGATATATCAGGATTAAAGGTCACAGGATATATATTTACATCCTTAAGCAATATATAATATTGTATTGATTGTCTTTAGGCAATACAGAAATAGTACCGGACTACTCATGTTGTACTTTGCAATTTATGTATGATAGAGTACAGAAATGTATGCACTTAGATACATAAATTCCTAGTTCTTTCATTTTAACTGCTGTATTGTATGTTCACTGTATGAGTATGTCTTAATTTATTCATTAATTCTTCCGTTTATGATCTACATATTATTTCCAGGATTTTTCTCTCCCCCGACATAAATGCAATCTTACTATCTCTTACTTTACCTCACATCTCAGAGTAGGATTTCCGAATTGTAGGAAATGTCTTACCTCAGTTTTACGAGGCATTGCAATTATTCTGTGAAATAGTAGAGCACTAGCTCTTACCTCTTGTTCTTCACCTAGCAGCGTGTGAGAATTCCCAGATGTGCACCTCTTTATCACTATGTCTTTTAATTCATAGGAAGCTGATAGCCAGATAACACAGGTCTTTAGTAGCTGCGTTTAAAGAGCCTGCAAATCATTCCAGCTTCTACACCCGTCCAACACAAAACGGTTAGTTAAATGAAGTATTTCAAAAAGTACAGAAGTTGATGACATCATTTTCTGGCCAAATGACTTAATCATCCATGCCAGTAAAATGTGCTTGGAATATTTATTACAAACGACCCAGGGAAATTTGTTACTGAAAAACCCCCAACTGTGAATGACCTCCAAATCAGCAAATCTTAGAACATCTTTTTCACGTTCTTGTGTAGACCCAATGTACAGTAAATTGTTCTTAATTTAAAATCCTATTTACAGTTGTAGCTTTTTTCTCTTTCAAACACACCTGTTCTCAGAGCAACTTTGAGCCGTAAACAGCAGACATTTGTCTAAGATTTGTTAACATTTCTATAAGAATACTGCAGCTCTGAATGAAGTGAGGGGTAAACAGCTGTGCCACACAGACAATAGTGTAAACAAGCCCATCTTTTGCGGGCATTTTGGCAGCAAGATTTTTTTTTTTTTTTTAGCAGCAGCAGAATACTAGTCATTATTAAACCTGTCTTCAGCCAGATTCATATTTATGAATTGAAATTCTTCTCTACAGCTTTTGGACTGGTAAATTCAACTTTCACACGGTGAAGGAAAAGCTGACTGCTCCCCTTTCTTTTCATGTTGCTATGTATGGAATAACTCTTCTTTGAAGAGCACCTTGTTTTGAAGAGGCTTAAAATTTCTGCTAGTTACAGTTAGTTGAATAGTATTAAGAAATGGCTAAAAATGTATCATCAAAATCCTTGAAGACTATATTTTTAAATAAGAAGTCCGGGAATCTTCACAAGTCAAACTTTTATCTGAAATCTGAAAAAAATGGAAAGAAATGAAGTGGGTAAGATTGTATTTCATTGCTTTTTCGATTTTCAGTTGAGCCCTCCCACTTTTTTGCCCTTAATGGAAGAAAAAGAAAAGAAACATTCATCAGATGGAATTTTAGCCTTCTAATATTAAACAAATGGGTCAACTCATTGATTTTGTAATCCTCTTGTGAGGCATATAGGAAGTGTGTTTGGTCATCTCCATTTTATTGATGAAATACTAAAGGGAGACATATATTGACATGGTAAATATCACACAGAATTAATGGATTCAACCCACAGGGTACTGGGAATGATATCTTTCCACTCTACTGTCTTTACAGAGCTTATAGGTAAGAATCACTGTAACATGTGGATATTGAGATGGAAGAAAAATCCACATGTGATCACAGCTGGCTTCTCTGTTCAGAACATCAGTATTTTGGATCATTTTGGTATCATACATCATGGTTTGTTATTATGACTGAAGGATACCTTTTGTTGCCACCCATGTCTTCAAAAGAGTTGGTTTCCCAAAAATTTTCTTTTAATCTTCTTGTCTCTATAATTTCATTTTCTTTCTTGTTTTCTTTTTTTTTTTAAGATTTTGCTTTCCTGCTTTATAGTGTGTGCTCAGTAATATGTCACAGTGTGTAAGAAACAGAAACAAAAATTCCTGCTCTCCAAAGGATTTAGGGAAGATGTAAATATGTGGAAACATCAATAAAAGAATAAAAGTTAACAGGTGACTATGTGCCAGATTCCCCAGACTATAAGTGGTATAAAGTTTTTAACTTGACAAAGGCCGCTTCCCCTGGGGAGGCAGATGGAATAATGAGTCAATTCTTCCTCTCTTTGTGGGTAAAGGGATTGAGTCACTCTGAAGCAGGAAGCTTGTTATTCGGGTCAGGTAAAGTCAGGGTATTTGCCTAACGGAAAAGTCAAATCTTACTATGATGAAGACAAATTTCAACTTTATAGAAGGATGGAAATTCATATTAATGTCTATGGACTTCAGCCACATGTTAAGAGAAGTTGGCTAGAACCTCTCTCCGCAACTTCCTTCTTTTAATTCTAAGTCAAATTCAATTTTCTCATCACACTGCTCATCCTTGACATCAAAAGTAGTCATCTATTTCATGCCAATAGAACAACCATTTCCACTCTTTTGCCTGGCACACATCCCTCCCAGCTGGCAGGTGTGCCGTGCTGTTTACACATGTCGCTCTTTCACTTCCCTGCAGACTTCTCCTACTCACTGTTGGATGGATATTCGACTCAAAAGTCAGCTAGAAACTTGCTGTCAAG